TAGTGGTACTGCTGGGGGGGATAGGGGTACTGCTCGGGGGATAGGGGTACTGCTGGGAGGGATAGGGGTACTGCTGGAGGGGATAGGGGTGCTGCTGGGGAGGGTAGGGGTGCTGGGGGGTAGGGCTACTTCTGGGGGGGTAAGGGTGCTGTGTGTCAGTATACCCCCCTCCCTCCTTCTTACCTTTAATGAAGTGGGGGGGGGACACACAGCCATCCCTGGTGGTCCGGTGGTGGTAAGCACTGCAGGGGGAGGGCTCCAGGAAGCAGCTCCCCTGTCCTCCTGCGCAATGCTGTGTGGAGCGTTGCCATGGTAACGCGCGGCAACGCTCCACACAGCATCGCGCGGGAGGACAGGGGAGCTGCTTCCTGGAGCCCTCCCCCTGCCTCCCGACCCGGAAGCAGAGTAGGCGCCTGCCGTTTCGGGCAGGCAGGCGCCTACTCTGCATTGATGGCGAACCTGTGGCCGCGTGCCCACAGAAAGGGCCCCGCGTGCCACCTGTGGCACGCGTGCCATAGGTTCGCCATCACTGGCATACCATTTGCAAAAGTAGACAAGTTATTGCAAATGGGGTATGTCCAGTCTTTTTTAGTAGCCACTTAGTCACCAACACTGGCCAAAATTGGCGTTCAAATTCGTTTTTTTGCATTTTTCACAAACAAATCTGAACGCTAACTTTGGCCAGTGTTTGTGACTAAGTGGTTACTTAAAAATACTGGACATACCCCATTTGCAATACCTTGTGTTGTTTACTATTGCAGATGGTATGCCATCATGGGGGTAATTCTCATTCCTGGGCCACCATACAGTCTCAAAGGCAACGTAAATAATTTTGAGAAACAGGCTATATTTGACCCTGTAACTTCCCAATTACAGTTGAACAGACATGGTCAAATTCCAAGTTTTGTTTACATTTTATTTTGATCAAAACGTGTACATTTGGCTCAGTCCTTAAAGGACCACTATAGTGCCCTGAGGGTGCCCCCACCCTCAGGGACCCCCTCCCGCCCGGCTCTGGAAGGGGGAAAGGGGTAATAACTTACCTTTTTCCAGCGCTGGGCGGAGAGCTCTCCTCCTCTCCCTCCACGCCCGCCGATTGGCACGCGCTTGGCGCATTCAGCCCGTCGCATAGGAAAGCATTTACAATGCTTTCTATGGACGCTGGCGTGCTCTCACTGTGAAAATCACAGTGAGAAGCGCATAGCCTAGTAACTGTCAATGAGACAGCCACTAGAAGATAGGGAAGAGCTTAACCCATTCATAATTATAGCAGTTTCTCTGAAACTGCTATAATTATGAAAAAATGGGTTAAGCCTAGAAGGACCTGGCACCCAGACCACTTCATTAAGCTGAAGTGGTCTGGGTGCCTAGAGTGGTCCTTTAAGGGCTTAAGCATCCTTGTTCTTACAATAGAAGAAAAAGAAAGAAAGAAGAAAAAAACACAAGCAAAAAAAATTAAATAAAAACTTTTCCTTTGATTAAATCTCCTTTCTTCCAGTATAAAACATGTGATCTTGAGTCCTATGTACTGTCCTGTTTGTGAATCTATTTCCAGACAATTGTTTGTGTTGGCCCCAAATCTACTTGTATAAAGCAAACATATCCACTGTGAGGTGCTGTTTTTCTAAACTAAAGAGACTTAAAGGACCACTATAGTGCCAGGAAAACACTCATTTTCCTGGCACTATAGTGCCCTGAGGGTGCCCCCACCCTCAGGGACCCCCTCCTGCCCGGCTCTGGAAGGGGGAAAACTTACCTTTTTCCAGCGCTGGGCGGGGAGCTCTCCTCCTTCGTTCCTCCCAGTCGGCTGAATGCGCACGCGCGGCAAGAGCTACGCGCACATTCAGCCGGTCGCATAGGAAAGCATTATCAATGCTTTCCTATGGACGCTGGCGTGCTCTCACTGTGAAAATCACAGTGAGAAGCACGCAAGCACCTCTAGTGGCTGTCAATGAGACAGCCACTAGAGGATTAGGGGGAAGGCTTAACCCATTCATAAACATAGCAGTTTCAGAGAAACTGCTATGTTTATAAAAAAAAATGGGTTAACCCTAGAAGGACCTGGCACCCAGACCACTTCATTAAGCTGAAGTGGTCTGGGTGCCTAGAGTGGTCCTTTAAGTTTAACATTTTGTTTATAGCGAAAATGTTCCATTTCTTTTATTAAAGGGACACTAGAGTCACCTGAACAACTTTAGCTTAATGAAGCAGTTTTAGTGTATTGAACATGCCCCTGCAGCCTCACTGCTCAATCCTCTGCCATTTAGGAGTTAAATCCCTTTGTTTATGAACCCTAGTCACACCTCCCTGCATGTGACTTGCACAGCCTTCCATAAACACTTCCTGTAAAGAGAGCCTTATTTAGAGTTTTGTTGATTTTGAGAATAGCCCAGCATTGGAAGTTTTAGAGATAAATACATTGAAGAGAGTTTAAAGGGACACTGTAGGCACCCAGAACACTTCAGCCCACAGTGGCTGTCTACCAGACAGCCACTAGAGGGCTTCCGGAATGGAAACGGACCTGCATAATTTCCTCCAGCGTCAGCTTTATCACCCATAGAAAAAAAAAAAAAAAAAAAAACCCCATTGATTAATGCTTTCCTATGGGGAAATCCTAATGCGAGCGCAAACAATGGCCGCGCATGAGCATTAGGTCTCCCCTGTCAACAGCATGGGCAGCACTTGACCCAGCGGCACTGGATTCAGGTAAGTGACTAAGAGGGTTTTAACGTTTCAGTGCCACGGGGGGGGTGGGGAGGGAGTAGAGGGAGGTACTGTAGGATCCCTTTAAGAATGCCTTGCATAAACAAACTATTGTCCTTAGTAGGAATCAAAAGTATGTTTATTTTTGTATAAAAACCAGCAAGATGAGGTGTGGCATTTGTCTTTAAAATGTACAAGCGTTAGTCAAAACACTTTAGGAAAAATAAAAAAATTGCTGAATGGAATAAGTTCTTAAAATGTAAGAAGTTTTTCTAGATATGTCAAGGAAATGTATGTTTATACAGATTAACACAAGTGTTAGTAAGTAGGCAACTTGTCATCAAACTCCAGTTTAAATGCATGTAAACATTTGATTTCCCACATAATCTTAGCCTAACTATGGAATATTGGTCTATTCTAAAATTAATCTACTCTTGTGTTAATGCTGCGGTCAGTGGAAAGACCAAAATGAAATAAAGTAAAAACAATTAACAGAATCTGACTTTAATTTGTTTAGGGATCTGTAGAAAACAATATTGTAAACAATACAACAATGGCAGACAATACAATATTTGTTTGAAACAAGATTGTCCAATGAAGCACATACTGCATGATTAAATAAGGGTAGTTGCAATATCCAGATATTACAAGATTTTAAATTGCTAAACTGTATGAAATAAAACATTAAACATGTCTTATATGCAGTAACCACAACTCAGCTCTTGTGTTTATGTGAACACATTTTTTTGCCTTACCATTTTTGCCAAGTTAAAGAAACACACAAAAAAAGTGTTTCCATATCTTTGCTGTAGTTCCATCAATAGATTAAAGAACCAAAAATGGTATAACGCAGAACTGAAAGTGTGGTCCACTCTATGGGTAAATAAAAGATTCCTATCCTGAACAACACCTTAGCATTTAACAAAGTTTTTCAGATTTTCTAAGAAGCGGATGTATTCTTGATGTTCCAATGCAGTGCTAAGTTCCACAAGCTCATCAGCAAATGTATTATCCACTCCACGATCAGCCAGAAAATCCATCAAGTGATCATACAGAGCCTGAGGAGAGAAAAAAAAAAAATGGATTTATTTAATGAAATGGCCTTGAGCTCCCTCTGCCACCATAGATAAGTGCAACAGTAAACAAATAGCCCACAGAAGACTTTGGTAAAATATACACAAAACGGTTACCACTCCTACCCCACACCAAACTAAGTCAGTGTCAATTACACTCCTTGAATTTCTTTCATTTAGTATTGGGAAACATTTGGATACAAGGTAATGGAGAATGGAAAGTGTTTAAAAAAAAAACGCTCTCCCTAAAATGTATTTTTCTGCCAATATGTACTGTTTTTCAGTTATTATGGACACTATTGTAGTTTTTTACTCCTTCTGAAGGTTCTGGAAGGAATAGCAAGAGTATAAAGTTTCCAATAATAATCAATAAAAGTTACATAGCAAGAGTATCCAATGAACAGTGCTTCCCCTCCATTTCTAGAATATTCAGAAAAATTAGACACATTAAGACTCCTGCTCTCCACAGACAATATATACAATATTAAAGGGACACACACTTTTACATTTATAGCACCGACAGGAGACCATCTGATAGAGAAACTATTTCTACTTCAGACAAAGCTCCTCTATTGGCTGTCAGAGTGACAGGCACTAGAGGCATTTAAATCCTGCAATGTCAACATTGCCATTCCTGCAGAACAGATATGTTTTAGATTGCAGTGTTAGGCACGAACATGGCACTTCATTGAAATGAAGTGATCTGGGTACCTTGAATGTCCTTTTAAAAGACAATCACAGTTATGTCCAGCACAGTCAGTGCACACAATGCAAACATGGAGAAGAGAAACACTGGTTTTCTCCCCTCCTGCCATGTTCAATGGCAGAAAAAGGCACATTTAAGACAAGAATTGAGTGAGAGCAAAGATGTAGGTGCTCAGGTCGAGAAGACGGACAACTGTAAGTATCATCAATACAATAGTATTAACTTTGCTTAGATGCACAAATATTGTGTAAGATTTAAATGGCACTGACCCAGTCAAGAGAATCTGTGCTTAGGGTGTAGCTGTTTTCCTTCCAGTCTGTTTCACCTGTGGGCTGGAAGCTCACCTCCCGAATAGTGAAAAGATCACTTTCCTCTTCTTCCTCCCCATGACCAACCTGTTAAAATAAAAAGTTAAAAATAAATAGAAAATACGAGTTATTCCAGTCCATTCTTTCATAATCTGATATTAGCACACAATAAATCAAGCCAATGAAATAAATATATACACACACGGAGTAGTGGAAGCACTCAGAGGACTTCTTGACAATATTTTCTTTTATTGTGGTATTATCTAAGTGCAAAAAGCATCGATCAACGTTTCGACCCCTAGAGGGTCTTTTTCTGAGTGCTCCCACTACTCCTTGTTTATATATTGAACTCTAGGGATACACCTGGGCAAGAATTCCAGAATCTACTGTATTAAAGGGTGAGTGCCAAGTTAAAATATATTATATATATTTAAATCAGAAAATTTAAAATTAGAAAACTTCTCTGCCTAGTGAAGCTAACAGACTGCTTAGATAGTTACTGTGCATATACAATACGTACAGATTATTTACATTGTGACTTTCAAGGCTAAGAGAATTGGAACACATTTTATGTTGGTAACAAACAATCCTTAACATATTACAGGGACACTATAGGTATCCATCTCATTAAAGTGGTCTGGGTGCAATGCCCCTGTCTCCTTAACACTGCAATTGTAATTCTTTCAGTTATTGAGAAACTGCAATAATTACCTTGCAGGGGTTAGTGGCCATCTACCAGAGGCGCTTGCGGGTCCTTAGCGGACTTTGCTCCTCTAAAATGATGCTGGATGTCCTCACATTTTGCAGGAATACATCCGTCAGCTAAAACCCCATAGGAAAGCATTGATTCAATGCTTTCCAACAGGGAAGTCCTAATGCGATTACGGAGCTCGCAGAGCATGCACATTAAGTTGCCATAAAGGGTTGGTGATGAGCAGACACTAATGCGCAGCAATTGCTGTACATGCGCTAAAGCCTCTCCTTACAAAAGCATTGAATCACTGCTTTACTACAGGGAAATAGAGTGTGAGGAAGTCCAGTGTCAATTACTGGACCAAAAGTCAGTTAAAATCTAGAAAGCGCCTCCAGTGACTGGATTTTCTGGAAGTGCAGTGCTTTACATAGCAGCACTATGTGCAATAGGGACACTGTACCCGGAACACTTTAATAAGCTGAAGTGGTCTGGGTGTCTAGAGTGTCCCTTTAAAGAAAGAAGAAAGGAAAGAAACTATTGAAGTGTATAAGGCTAGGCAGCAAACTAACCAACTCTAAGAAGTGTGTTGTATTCACTTGGCAAGGGAGTGCTCTAGTTTTGAAGTTTCGGCTTTAACATGAGCCATAGTTTTGAGGGTTCTATCACACATATACCTAGCAATATCAACTGACCTTTAAAGGAACACTATAGCGTCAGGAACACAAACATGTATTCCTGACACTATAGTGTTAAAAACAAAATCTAACCTCCCTGCCCTCCCCCCCCCTGCCTCTTTATACCCCTAAATATAATAAAATCTTACCTTTATTCCAGTCTGATGCTGGCTCTGCCCACTTGGATGAAATCAGAAGGGATTATCTAAGCCAATCACAATGCTTTCCCCATAGGGACATGGTCACGGAGGCAAATCAGGGGCAGAGCCAATACAAACCAAACACAGCCCTTGCCAATCAGCATCGCCTCATAGAGATGCATCTCTATAAAGAAAGTTCAGTGTCTACATACAGAGGGTGGAGACCCTGAATGGCAGGGCTGCACACTGTGCAGCACCTCTAGTAGACATCTGAGGAGTGGCCAGTGGAGGTATCCCTAAGCTGTAATGTAAACACTGCCTTTTCTCTGAAAAGACAGTGTTTACTGCAAAAAGCTTGAAGGGAAAGATTATACGCTTATAATAATATGTAGTTTTTCTGATGACTATAGTGTTCCTTTAAGAGTGTGCAATGTTGGTCTAAATTTATTTATTTTTTTGGGGTGGGGGGGGAAGGGAGGGGAGATGTAGAGTTCATTACCTCATCTTCTGGAAAATGACAGTCAAGTACCAAAGTCTCCTTGGTATCCTGTTTTGTAACTTCAACAACAAAGTTGGGTGTAGATACAAGTTCTGGCTGCAATAGAGAAAGTTAAAATGTTTTTATTTATTAAATCATATCTTGAGTAGTAATTACAATTTAAGTGCCAAGATGTATGCTTGTTGATTTACCTAGAAAAAGAAATGTATACACAGTATATTCCACGTTTCATACCTTAATGGAGTTTAGATCATGTCTTTAGTAATTAAAACAGTCATCAAATAGAATTAAAATGTTAGAATCTTAATAATTTATAAGTAAATATTGGCAACAAAGTCACCTTTTCCTCTCTTTAAAATAAAATCTTGCATGCATCATATAGCCTCTAAATATTATTTTGTAATTTATCTCTTCATTTTATCTTCTAGCTTACGCATGAGCCAAGGATGCCGTCATTTTTAAGTCCTTGTTGGTCACAGCTTACCCAAGCAAGGCCCATTCAGGTAGCCGAATGTAAGTGCTCATCCACAGTTACATATACCACGTGCATAATCCCAAATGCTCCCTAATCTAGTTTCAGGCATTCAAATTGTACATAGTCAGGGTAAATCTACTGCTTCTGACCAAATATAGCATGAATGACAGCCACCCCATAGGGCTATGGTAAGACAAGAAATACACTGAAATGAGAGGTATTTACAGATGTGTGTGAAGCAATGTAGGTGCAATCTTATTTCCAATTATAATAAAATAAAAAATGAGGATAGTTCTTCTAAATGAGTATATGTATTCTCTTTTTTATTCTTGACTCAGGTCATAAAATCGAGACAAAGACACACACACTTTTTCCTTTGTAAAAGATTCCAGCACGTTCTGAATTGATCCTGATGAAAGCCACGAATGATGGCTGAAATGATCATATTTTAACAAGGAATTAAATAAAGGAATCTTTTACAAAGGAAAAAGACCGTGAGTGCAAGCCTTTCACTATTTTTATTATAATCTATGGCTAGAATACACCCGGCATTTTGAAAAGGTTTTAAAAGTGTTTGTGCAAGGACAAAGAGGAACAGTGTATGTATGTTTATATACACACACATTTTTTGACAAGGCGTAATTGGCAGGGTGTCGAACATATCTGGGTAGTGGACCATGAGCTGAGAGAATTTAGTTTTGGGTAGTAAGTGCTAGTGCTTAGTAAGCCCAGTATGCCTAGGCATGTGGCCATATCTCAGGTGGGGTTGAAGGAGTTATAGGCAGTAAGGCAAGAGTACCTTTAAAAGTATTACGATGTTGTGAGTTGGTTTTCGAGTCGTGGGCAGGTGGAAAGCGTATTATCTGCGGTATGGGCATTCTTATGTTGCAGTCCTGCATTGTAGGGGACTACATGTATGTGGTATAGATGGTTAGTGGCTCACTTGGGCTAATAGTTGGTGGGTTATATAACGTCTGCCATAGTTTCTCTGGGAAGAGGCATTCTGCTCGCCCCATTTGGGTAGCCTGTGCAGTTAGGGGGCTGGTTCGAAGTGAGTTCTGATCTCCATCAGGTAGTGACCGCTATGGGGGCCTCTTCTCTTGCCCATCGGGGGAACTGGGGTTTCCGTGCCATGGGCAGTGCCGATGGCTTGCTTGGTACCGCAGGGGACATAGCGTCCTCTTGCAGTCCCAGGGTTAGCAGGAGGTCGAGGCACCCTGCATGTCTTGGATCTTGAATGACATATTACTGTGGTGGATTAAAAGTGCTTGAGGATGCCACCATTGTTAGGTAATGTTATGTAGACATAGCAGAGCTGTGAAGGGTTTTATTGTGCGGCGCCAGGCCAGCGTTGGCCCTGATATATCTGCATGTTCTCAAGCACACATGGGACTTGGCTTCTTATTGCTTGCAGCACCGCTGCTCTGTCTCCGTGATTAATGAAGTACACCAGGAGGTCCCTAGGTGCTGAGGTCGGAGCTTTTGCGGGTCTGGGGAGGCGAAACATCCCTCCCAGGACTGCTTGTTTGGCCTGTCTAGGGGGCAAGAGGGCCAACATCAGTCACATGATGAATTGCAGTACCTCTGGCTCCGGTATCTCTTCTCAGATTCCCCTGAACTTGAGGTTGAGACTTCGCCATTGGTCTTCCAGCTCTGCAAACCGCTGTTCGGTTTTGCGATTCTGCTGTTGTAGCGGTGTTGTGTCATGCTTGTTTCGGTGGGAATCTTCTTCCACCCTGCTCAGGCGGCCTGTCAGGCCCTGCAGGTCTTTGCGGATTCTGGGCCATGTCAGCCTGTATAGTAAGCTGAAGCCTCGCTAGCAGCTCTTTCAATACCGCTGTGTTCACTGGGTATACATCTACTTGTGGATGAGTCGGGAGAGGAGCCAGCGAGACGGGTGAGGGATGTATTTCTGCCCCGCTAGTGAAGTCAACTGAAATGTCTGAGCAGTCTTCGGCGTAGTCAGCCATGTTGGCGCCCATGGTACTGCAGGCCAGCTTTCAGAGGTCTCTGATATTTCCACTCTGCCTGGGTTTATAAGGCTTGTTTTTTTTTGTTTTCCGAACCATCTCTCTCCCTGTCATTGGTGGTGCAGTTTGGTACCTTATGTGAGGGATTTGGGCTGTGTTAGAAGGTCCAATATGGCGGTTTGTTACAGAGCTTCGATTACATGCAGCCATTCAGGTCAGCAGCTTGGCTCTGCCTCCGAGTAGATGTATTATTATGTTAAATGTAAGTGACTTAAGGAATAGTGAGATGCCGGTCTTTATGAAGGTTAAATCCAAAAGCCTGATTTGTATTCGTATTTTCAGGTGCTGCATAAATATGGTAAAATGTGGCTTTGGCACAAACTGTTCCTGCTTGCAAAAATAACGTGCACAGCACTACCACATAGAATGTTTTAAAGTATCTTTCTTTTAAATATTTTTATAAAGAAATCTCACCGCATACTGGACTCGTTGCCAGAATTTCAAAAGGTGTAGGACAAGTGGCAAAGGTTTTTAGCTATTTCTCCTTAACTCAATTGACAACTTATTTTCCCAACCCACCCAGGGGCGTATTAGCCGCGAGGCAAACAAGGCATTTGCCTTGGGCGGCAAAAAAGCCGCCCCCAAATGCCCAGGGCAAATGCCTTGTTAGCCTCGCGGCTAACAGACATGCCGGGCTGGGCGGGCGGGCGGCGAGGGAGCTCTTCCCCTGAGCTGTCCGCTCAGCTCCCTCGCGCGCCGCAGAGTGAGGCTGGGAGCCGGAATATGACGTCATCTTCCGGCTCCCAGTCTCACTCTGCTGGCGGCACGAGAGGGAGCAGAGCGCTCAGGGGAAGAGCTCCCTCGCCGCCCGCCCGCCCAGCCCGACCGGCAGCCACTGGACCCCAGGGAGAGGAAGAACCCCCCCAGCATTCGCAAAGGTAAGGAGGCTGGGGGGGTTAAATTAAAAAAAAAAACACAAGTGAATGTGTGTGTATGTTAGTGTGTGTGTGTGTGTGTGTGTGTATGTATGTTAGTGAGTGAGTGTGTGTGTGTGTATGTTAGTGAGTGAGTGAGTGAGTGTGTGTGTGTATGTTAGTGAGTGAGTGAGTGAGTGTGTGTGTGTGTATGTTAGTGAGTGTGTGTGTCTGTCTGTCAGTGTGTCTGTCTGTCAGTGTGTCTGTCTGTCAGTGTGTGTTTCTGTTAGCTAGTGAATGCGTATCTGTCAGCGAGTGTGTGTGTGTGTGTGTGTGTATTTAGAAGGCGGAGCAGGGGGGAAGGGTTGGGTGGCGGTTGCGCGGGTGGGGGTAGCACGGGGGGGTGCCTGAGTTTTGTCCTGCCTAGGGCAGCACAAAACCAGGATACACCACTGAACCCACCCCCTGGTGGTCAGCATTAGCTACATTAAATATGATTTGTTATCCATTTATTTATGTGCTATGCTACCTTAATGTACACATTCATTTTTGTATTACTATGTACCACCACATAGCTACTACTCACTGCATGTCACCTTTGTAAAACCTTAATGAAGATTATTAACTGGGTGGGGGGAATAAATAAAAACCTGACCTTGCTCTGTGCACTACTTACTTAAGGATTCATTTGTCCTCATTTACCATATCTTTACACAGGTTAGGTCTGAGCATGTGCAAGTGTGCAAAATGGAACCCTGTGAAGTGAATGCTTCTTTGTATTGAAATATATAAAGTTTTAAATTTTACCTCATTCTCCTCTGCCTTCTGACCTTCTTGTGATTCTTCCTCAAATGTTGGTGGAATGCTGTTATTGGTATTGAATGTTACGGTAACCCTTTGGGGGGGGGGAAAACAAACAAACATCTGAATACAATAAGAAGAATAAGCCTAATGTTTTCAAAGACCAAACATGCCTAGATAAAACCGAATAAAAAGCAAAATCTGTAATGCTGTATTAATTTCAAGGTTTTTTGTGTGTTTTTATATAAAAATCAGATAGCATGAGCAGTACAGCATTTCAATGAGTTACATGAAAATTTAAAGACTTGACATTCTTTGAAAACAACCACAACATTAAATGGATATAGAATATTAATGGAAGTATAAGGCACCAAAGCTACTGTTGACTACTAGGGACTAGTGAAAATGTTGGGTCACATAAAGGAGACAAGTGAATTTTGAATTTAAATATCAAAATAGCTAGCCTGGAAAAATATAGCAAAATCAGTGATGCTTCCAGTTCAGCTACTTTAGCCTTCAAATTGAAATGTATTTGCATTCCCACTAATTCTCATTTTAGTAAATAACCCTGCATGCTGTTTGGCAGATTTGTCCCTATAATGACATGGTTGGGGCAGGGGAGAGCTAGACATGGAGAGCATTGGCAATGTTTTTATGCAACCATCCTAAGGTTCTAGGGTCTTATTTATGTATTTCTGGATGTAAAATTATTCTTATAAGATATATCCAAAAATCTGAATTATTTTACCAAGCATGTTTTATACAAGCCAGTATGTATCATGTATTAGCAACAGCCAAGACTACCATGCATTGTGTCCCATTTGTCTGTTAGTGGTCACAAACCAGAAGAGCACGGTTTCATTTTTGTGACATTACTTACTTCTCCCCTGAAAGTTTCCTTATCAGTTTAGCCTCTGTGCCATGGACGTCCAGCTCCCACCCACCAGTCATCTTAGGTAGGGATTTGTGTTTCTGTATTTTCTTTTCTTCTTTGATTTCATCGCTGAGGAATTCTGCAAATGCTTTGTCTCCTAAAATAGAGCAGAAGAAGAAAAGCAGTTATTTAAAATTCGAGTGTGTTAAATAGAAGCATTTTGTTTAACCCCCACTGAAACAAGACTTTCACATAAAAAGAGCCATCTCAATGTATTAAAAAACAAACAAACAAAAAAACACTGGTATACTTACTAATCCTGAATGCTGTAGCTCACTGGATCATAGCGGTTTTAACAGACTGCACTTACATATCAAGGTGAGCGTCTACACATAATAATAATAAATTCAATTTACCATTATAAAAAAAAAAATTTTTAAAAATTAAAAAACACACACTTCTTAATTTAATAGAAATCATAACCACAGAACAGTCAGTTACAATGATCTATATTTTATCATGGGAAACCTGTGCTGGACAAACCATTACAGTCCACACAGTTTGACACTCACCCTCTGTATGCAATCCTCCACAGCCGCATGACACCGCCGGGAACCCCCGGTAAGGGTAAAGGAAGGCTGGCCTCAGAGCAGAGCCCTGGCCGCCATGCATCCACAGAGTGCGGGTGAAGGAGCGAGCAGGGCACAAGGAGGAGAGCATGGACACGGGCCGGGAAGTGGCGACCCGTGCGGTGGCGATAAGAGCTCGGGAGAGAGAGGACAGCATGGTTGCAGCAGCCGAAACACACGTGTGCGACAAGAGGACACCGTGACACCCCTGACCTTTCAACTTCTCAAAAGGAAGTGTCGCAGGGGAAATGGCGTCACGACGGTCACTATGGAGATATGTCAATAACCTTGGATCTCAACGTTCTAAATGCTAGAGATACTGTGTCAGCGTTAGGGGTGGCCCATAAGTCCCTACCCATCCATATATCTTATGTACCCAGTGTATCTGTGTGCTGGATGGGTAGAGACCTTTGGGTCACCCTGTATGAAGCTGCCCTGTTACAGCTGAGATTTTTATAAAGACAGAAATAATGTGATATCTTATTGCAGAGTATTTTATTTCCTATGAGGAGAACTTGTGTTTTCACCTCCAAACACTGTTACTCATGATTACTGGCATTTATAAAGTATCAACACATTATATAGTCATAGATCAATACAAAAGATAAAGAGGGATTATTTTTATTATTGCCTTTTATTATAGCGCCAACAGATCGGTAGCGCTTTACAATATTATGAGAGGGGGGATTTAACTATAAATATGACAATTACAAGAAAACTTACAGGAACAATAGGTTGAAGAGGACTCTGCTCAAACGAACGTATAGGAGGTGGGGTATGACACGTTAGGACAGGAAATAGCAATCAAATAGAGTGGGAGTGAAGCAGAGCTGGAGGAGAGGATAGAGTGCTGCCCTTTAGGGGAGAGCAAGGGACAGGTATGTGAGGTAGAGGTTACTCTGGAAGGCCATAAGCTTTCTTAAAGAGATGGGTTTTGAGGCGCTTCTTAAATGATTGAAGACTAAGGTAGAACTGATGAGGGAAGGCAGACTATTCCATAGGAAGGGAGCTGCTCGCGAGATGTCCTGCAAGCGCGAGTTGGCCATACGGGTGCGAGCAGCGGACAGGAGAAGGTCACGGGCAGAGCAGAGGGACAGAGAAGGGCCATACCTATGGATCTGTGAAGAGATATAAGAGGGGCCAGAGTTGTTCAGTGCTTTATAGGTGTGAATTATTACCTTGAATTGACTCCAATAGGATACAGGAAGCCAATGTAAGGACTGACAGAGGGGTGAGGTGTGAGAGGACCAACCAAAGAGGAAAATCAGTCTGGTGGCAGCATTCATTAAAGACTGTAGTGGCGCAATACGACTTTTGGGAAGACAAATCAGGAGAGGGTTACAATAATCCATGCGGGAAATTACTGGAGCATGGACATGCTCATTGGTAGCATCTTTTGTGAGAAAGGGGCATAAGCGGGCTATGTTTTTAAGATGGAATCTACAGGGTTTGGCAACATGCTGGATGTGAGGCTCAAAGATGAGGCCAGAATCAAGTATGATGCCAAGACAGCGTGCTTGCAAGGATTGACTTATGTGGATACCACTGACCTGGAGGGAAAGTGAGAGAGGAGGATCAGTATTAGGAGGAGGAAAGACAAGGAGTTCAGTTTTAGAGAGATTGAGTTTCAGAAAGCGGGAGGACATCCAGTCAGAGATGGAAGAAAGGCAAGCAGTGACACGTTGCAGGACGGCAGGGGAGAGGTCTGGGGAGGAGAGATATATCTGGGTGTCATCAGCGTACAGGTGGTAGTGGAATCCAAAAGAGGAAATAAGTTTGCCAAGAGAGGCAGTATGAAGAGAAAATAGAAGGGGACCAAGAACAGAGCCTTGCGGGACTCCAATCGAGACAGGACGAGGGAGAGATAAGAGACAGGACGAGGGAGAGACTGAATGAGCGTTGGGAGAGATAAGATGAAAACCATGAGAAGACAGAGTCACAGAGGCCGAACGATTGAAGAGTTTGAAGAAGGAGAGAGTGATCAACTGTGTCAAAGGCAGAACAGAGGTCAAGAAGAATTAATATGGAGTAGTGACCTTTGGGTTTAGCTGTGATTAGGTTGTTGGTAACTTTGGTAAGAGCAGTCTCATTAGAGTGGAGAGGGCAGAAGCCAGACTGAAGAGGGTCAAGGAGAGAGTTGGAATTGAGGAAGCAAGACAGACGGGTAAAGACAAGTCTTTCCAGAAGCTTTGAGGTAAAAGGGAGCAGGGATATGGGACGATAGTTATAGGGGGAGGACGGGTCAAGAGATGTTTTTTTTCAGGATAGGTACTACAGTGGCATGTTTAAGGTCAGCAGGGACAATGCCAGAAGAGTGAGAGCAGTTGAAGATGTGTGTTAATGAAGGCACAGGACAAGGGGAGAGAGATCTGATGAGGTGAGATGGGATAAGATCGAGTGGAGGGGCAAGAGGAAAGGAGAAGCACAAGCCACCTATTGTTCAGTAGCTGGGGAGAAAGTCTGAGGGTTAGGAAAGGTATGATCTACCTGTGGTTGATCTCCTTAGCTGTTCAATCTTGTCGGTAAAGTAGCATGCAAAGCTACCGGCTGTAAGGTCACAGCAGGGCGAAGAAGAGCGTTAAAGGTGTCAAGGAGACGCCTGGGATTGCGGGAGCATGAACTAATGAGAGAGGAAAAGTATGACTGTTTGGGGAGGGCAAGCACTGTGCTCTAAGAACACAATATGAATCTATAATGGAGAAAGTCTGAGACTTCCTCCAGGAGTGTACAGAACAACGGGAGCAACTTTGCAGATAGCGTGTTGATTTAGTATGCCACGGTTGAGGGTGCGTCCTCTTCGAGGTGCATGTTTGGAGCAGGGCTGCAGCGTTCAAGGCAGAGGTGAGGGTAGTGTTATGTGTGGAGATAGCCAATGAGAGACAGGAGAGGGAAGGGATGGATAGCAGTTGTGAATCAATATCAGCTGACAACTCCTGGAGGTCAATAGAATTAAGGTTCCTCCTGAGTTGAGGGGGGTTAGGCTGAGGTTGTTGGGTGAAGGGGTACTCGAGAGCAAACGATAACAGGTGATGATCAGAGAGAGGAAATGGAGTGTTGCAGATATTAGATACTGTATATGCATAAGAGAAAATGAGGTCGAGGTTATTGCCAGCTACATGGGTGAGAGAATTAGCCCACTGCAATAGCCCAAGGAAGGAAGTAATTGAAAGTAGTTTAGAGGCTGCTGAGGTCAAAGGTGGGTTAATGGGAATATTGAAGTCCCCAAGAATTAGGGATGGAATATTAGAAGAGAGGAAGAAGGTTCGCCAGGCAGTAAAGTGGTCAAGAAAGAGGAGAGGGGAACCAGGGGGACGATAAATAACGGCAATGTTAGCAGAGAAGGGTTTGAAGAGGCCAATTTAATGAATTTCAAATGATGGAGGGGGGGGCAGAGTTTTAAAGGAGCAGTGGGGTGAAAGCAGAAAACCTACACTGCCGCCTTTACTCTCAGCCTGTGTTGGGTTGTGGGTAAAGTGAAGACCACCAAAGAATAGTGAGGCAGGGGTATCAGTATCAGAGGGAGAGTGCCATGTTTCCGTTAGTGCAAGTAGGTTTAGGGAGTGTGAGAGACATAGGTCATGGATGGAATTCCTTTTAAGGAGGAATCATAGTGAGAGTTACATGGAATGGATATGAGATTGTTGTGGTTTCTGGTGTTAGTACCAGGTGGCTTAGTAGAGGAGGGACCAGGGTTTGGAGAGACATCACCAGCTGCTAGGAGCAGTAGTATGGAAAGGAAGAGAAGGTGGGAGTAAGATTTAAATGTTGAAGGGCAATAGGGGATCAAAGGATCTCTCCATCAGGTTTTTTAGTGGGATGTGATGACGTAGAGACGCAACACGTACAGGAGGTGGGCGTACCCGGCCAGGCGATGAAGCGAGTAAGCTAAGACTATTGAAGTGAGACTGAAGAAAGGAGCAGAGCTATACGAAAATCTCACGGATGCGGTGTTACAATCGTTTAAACGACATTTGGGCTGGTTGCTGGCTGTCGACTCTGGTCTGAGTCAACACAAGGGTAAAATAGTTGTCTGCACGCTGGAAGTTTAATTTGGAGAGTTGGGAGATACACGCTTACATGTGGACGGCTGTCGAGTGGTTTTGAGGAGCATTTGAGTGCAAGCTGACACACAACGCTGTGAAGTGGGCAGTGAATACACGTGGTATATTGAAAGCGCCGCTTGGTCACAGCCATGAGAGAGAATATTTGAAGTCCTTATAGATGCTGATTGTGGAACAGTGTAAGCATGCAGAAGCCAAACACAGAGAGATGGACACAGGTATTCAGGAAGTAAGAGGCCTTTATTCACATTACCGATCGGGTCTCAGATGAACTCCTGTTCCAAAATTCTGAGAGACCAACACATGGTGTACATTCCTTATATAGCACTATAACTCCTCCCATTAATAGCTACACCCACATATACCTTTAACCAATCAATGAGCAGAATATAGACTTGTACATCTAGTCAAACCTCATGGCCCATCCAAGACAAAGGAAATAAGTGCAATTTCAGTTCCTGCATTCCTGCGCATGCTCAGTACATTGATGACAGTATCCTAGCTACATGTAGCTAACTAACTGACACAACATACACATATGCCACATGGAAATCTTGGCCTACTCTTTTTACATTCACTGAAATTCTACCACAATTGCAATATAGACCACATTATCTGCTGATCTACTAATTTGGAATATAATAAGAAAGTTACAGCCCGAGAGGGAGAATTAGCAGGGTTGAAAACAAGAAGGCAAAATTATATTCGTTTGGTAAATCAAAGGTATACGTGTTCCAAAATAAATAAATAAATATATATTAAAATTAATTAATTAAAGGAAAAAATAAATTTAAAAAAGTCTATGAATAAGAGACAAACCTTTCAGACATGAGATGTTAAAAAAGAGATTGTGAAAGACATTAAAGCATCACATGTAACACAAGAGCTTCAATTGTTACCTATTATGAACTCTAAATACATTAATTTTCTTCCACACTCCATTTAAAATGGCAACAACAAAAAATGCAATAGACAAGAGAAAATAACTAAAACAAGCACAAAAAACTGAAAAGAGGCTCTCGGGCTTTTTTATTTCCACCCCTTCAAAAGACCAACAAGAAGCACAAACAGAAGCAGAAAGCTCCTTTAATGCAACAAGTGCAGAATCTATGGCTGTACAAATAAGTGAGCATAACAATCTACATGAACAGCTAAAACAATTATTAGAGTAACAGTTACAAGGACTCAGATATGATATGCTAACCAA